CTTTTTAATGTTGAATAAGTGCACTTGTAAAAGAATGAATAAGCACTTAAACTTTCTAAAATAGGTGGCTCTTAATTTTTTTCCTGCATGTTTAACAACATTATATCACTAAAGTAAAGAGTGATTAAAAAGTCCTGCCCCTTGACCCGTTAAGAAATACATTAGAATTTTGATTAATGGTGTGAAATGATTCAAGCTTGCGTTGAATTGATTTAATCTCAGAATCTAAGCACTTTTTACTTATCTTTTCTTTTGAAATTTCTTACATATTTATATTTTGTAAGGGTTAAACTTTACACTAAGATCTACCACAATCAAATAGTTTCTTATATGGCATTGTTATAGGTAGGATGACCATTATAACACGGGGGGGTTTGAATTGAAAAAAAAAAAGATGAGTTTTCTTTTACGTTGAAGTTAAACCCAAATTCCATTGAGTATTTGTAGATTAGTTGAAGTAGGCCATGAATAGAGAAGTGATTTAGCTCCCACTCGAGCGTGCAAAATAGAGAGCTGGTGCTGCTCACGAAATTGAAAGAAATCCCAAAAACTAACAATTGTATTATTAGGTAGCTAGGAGCTAAAATTTCTGTCTTAGTATGATACTCATGAGTCAAATAGTGGCATTTGGACATACCACATTGCATCATAATGTCTTCATGTATTTTCTTATCATTTGAATGTCTATCAAACATTCCATTTCATTTTTCTCTTCAATTTCAAATCTACTATATTTTTTAAGAACATAATCAAGTGATGAATTGGCTAGTTAATGGGGGCAATAGGTCTGGTGGACATAGAAGTGACGTGTATATTATGTAATTCTTGACGTAACTCTTATTCCCCATTTGGTTTGAATTAAAATTCAATTAACTTTCAAGTCAAAGTCAACAATTAATTTTAATCACAGATTTTATGAAATTGACAATTTCTCAACGACATATTTTTTCATTTTTTATCAAAATTTCCTAAAGTCTCATTTCAATCTATGCTAAATGGGGGCTTAATGTTGAACTATAAAATTTGGTGATAAAGACGTCAAAAAGGAAATTGAAGTTGACATGACAAGTCCACTGTTGTCAGGAAGGAACTGCCATTCTCATTTCTGTTTTTAAGGTTATCCCCTCTTTAGCCTTAGGTTTAACTTTAATTTGCAAGAATTTGTTGCCTTACGATTTTATTGCATTTTTCATCCCTCCGTTAATCATTTCAAACCCTAATGGTCGTGTCTAGCTGTGCCAGGACTTTTCCGTCCTTCGAATGCCGTTCAGATCCGGATTTCTCCCGTCCTAAGATCCCTTCCTATGGCGAAAAAATCAATTATTTTAGCGGCGGCTGGGTACAGCGTTTCTTCTCTGATCTTCAGATTCCCGCCGAACTTCGTGCGGCAGCTGAGCGACAAGGGTATAAGGAACTGTAGCAACATCGGTGTGGCGTCGCCTTCGTGGTCGAAGCCGCCTCTGTCGCCATGGCGCCAGTTTATTAGGTGTCTTAAGCGATTTTTTAGAGGTTATATATTTATTAATATCATCTAATCGAAGGATAAGTGCATAAGATATAAGATACCATTACAGGCTCGACTAGAAGTTTTTGGCAAGTGATCCCACTGACACATGATGTTAGTAATGAGCACCGATTATCTCTTTTCTTTTCTACTTTTGTTACATATAATACATACCATTTTCCAAAGAAAAGCAAAACTGAAAATTTAGGGTTTACTCATAAAATCCTAAATTCTTTAATTATTCATTTCACTGACTTAGAAAAATATACAAAATACACTTACATACAACATAGAGGAAGAAAAACATGAA